ACTCTGACCCTCTGGCCATTTTTGACTCCTGCCTGTTAGAAGTTTCTTAGCCTGAAGTCTCCTCGGCTGCCCCCAGGGAGTTTGTGGAATCTCCAAAACCCAGAGTGAGTGATGCGACTGGCTGCAGAGATGTTGGAGAGAAGGACCCCAGCTTTTACCTGGTTCCTGGAGGAGGCTGGGACCAGACAGCCTTTGAAACTGGAGTTCTAATGAGGTACAGATTTGTGCAACGCTTACTGAGCACCTACTATGTGCCGGGTGGTGCTCTGGGGATATAGCAGGGACCATAAGAGAAACTTCCTGACCTTGTGGGCACTTACATTCTATTTGGGATGGGACTGGGAGAAAGAACAGTCAAGTAAATAAATGTATAAGTATAAAATAACGCCTGGAGTGACAAGTGCTCTGAAGGAAAGCCGAGTAAGGACAGGGGCATGGTGTATAAGCTGGACAGGGAAAGTCCTCAGAGGAGGTGACATCTGAACAGAGTTCTGAAGAGGGCGAGGGAACTGTGCAGGTATCTGGGGTGAGATCATTCCAGGCAGGGGGAAACAGGGGGTGCAAAGGCCCGGGGGCAGGGATGTGCCTGATGTGTTCCAGGAGGCCAGTGAGGGCAGGAGAGGGGGAGGGGGAGAAGAGCCTGGGGTTCATTCTACATTAAGTGTCTTTATCTTCTGGTGCCCTTGGATTCCTGGTGTGTGTGTGTGTGTGCAAATGTGCACCAGGACACCTGTGGGCTTGGTGCTTACGTGTCCCCCAGCCCCAGGAGGATGGCCTATAGTGTTCATCCTATTTTCACAAAGAGAAAACTTTACTCCCCAAAAGTTACAAACCATCACTCTAGAGGGACAGTGACAAAGAGAAGTGAGACAGTGATCCAGAGAGAAGGGAACAGGAACAGAGACCCAGAGAAGGGCACAAGACCAGAAGAGAGGGACAGAGACCCAGTGGGGGGGCACAGAGATCCAGAGAGAGGGGCTTAGAGACCAGAGAGAGACAGAGACTCGGAGAGAGGGAAGCAGACAGAGGTGGAGGGTGAGCCGGCCAGGCAGTGCGCCTCCCCTGCTGGGCTCTAAGGATATTTTTACGACCCTCATAAACAGCTCTACCTCTGCGGGACCTACTCCTCCTTCATACTCTCATCTTGGGGAAATTAAACAAAACCAGGCCAGGGTCAGGGGTGAGCTGGCTGGAGGCACAGCCTGAGGGGTGGGAGTTAGGACAGAGGCACTGCCCAGCCGGAGAGGGCAAGTAGGGGGGCTGTGGGGGAGGCCAAGGAAGGGTCTTCCCTCCCCGAGCCTCAGTCTCCCCATCTGCTGGACAAGTTTGGGTTGAGGGGGTAATGGGGAACCAGCTAAACTAGAGGTGCCAGGACTTGGGGGCCCTTGGTGCTCCCCCAGAATCCCTTGTATACAAGGTGGCTGTCCCATGGGTGGCACTGGCCCTTTAAGGAAGGGGGGGGAAGGGGAGCTTTAATCACTGCCACACACCCCTGCCCCCCAGGTAGGGGTTTTGGAGCAGAAAATTAATTTAAATCACTTTTTAATTAAAGACACAAAGCTCTTCTGTGTGCCCCTCCCCATCAAGGCCCTCAGCTGAGGTTCAGGGTGGGGAGCCAGGGGTCTGGACCCCCAGCCTCACTGTGCATCCTGGGGGACACACTGAGGTCCCCTTGCCCAAGCTGATTCTGCAAACAAGGAGTGTGGCCTGAGTGACAGTCCCAGTGAGGGGTGAGGGGACTGATGAACGGAGGAGACTTTGTCTTCACTGGGTGAGGGCCCAGGGGGGCCAGTGAGGGGATGTCACTGGGAGGAAAAGGGTTGTTTCTTCCGAAGCTCTGAGCTCAGGGCCCTCCTGCCTCCACAACGAGGGCGGGAAGGAGCTTGGACTCCTGGGCATAAATCTTTTTAATTAAAGAGGAGCGAGACATTGGAAAGGGGAAAAAATCAGAGTCTGAGAGAAAAACGGTGGGACAGGCGAGGTCTGGAGGGCGGGGCAGCCGGCTTTCTCACTCCCCTCCCTGTCTGTGTGTGCAGGACAGAACCCCCCCCCAGTCCCATCTCTCTCTCTGACCTCAGCCTCCTCTGCCCAGATGTCTCTCTAAATAGTCTTTGGACCCCCAGGGGAGGGAGCTGACGGGGTCCAGGCCTGGGTCTGGGTTTGCTGACCCCAGTGTGGCTGCATCTGTGAGGGTGGGTTTGGGCCCCTGGGTGCCGGCATGGGAGTCCCAAATGAACAGTGGCCCTGGGAGGGGTCTCACCCTCCAGGCTCCCCCTGCCCCATTTATAGATGGGAAGGCTTCATCCATACCCACCCCACTGATCCCTCCATGAATACATCTGGGGGACCTCCCAGGTCTCCCCAACACAGATTCCCCCCAGCTTGGCTGTGGCCCTCTCAGTGACCTGGGTAGGACCCTCTTGCTCACCTCAGTCTTCCCACCCCTGGAGACCCCCAGGGACCCCCAGGATCTGCCCTCAGAGGCTCTAGGAGCTGAGAGGGTGAGTGAGGAGCTGCTCAGGGCCCCCTCCTGTCTTCTCTCTTGGTCAGCTAGCTCTTGCCTCAGTTTCCCCTCTTTATCATCAGCTCTGTGTTTGTGTCTCCCTCCCTCTTCCCCTCCTCCCTCCCTCTAGGGCTCTCCAAGGATCTGTATCTCTGCCCAGGTGCCTTCTAGGTCTGTTTCTGTCTTGGGTGTGTGTCTATCTGTTCGACTGTCTGTCTCATGTGTCTCTACCTGCATCGTTTTCTCTCTACCTGTGTTTCTTTCTCTCTGTCTCTGTGTGTCTCCGTCTCCATCTCTCTGTATCTCTTATTCTCACTATATCTTATTTTCTCCCTCTCAGTCTCTCTCCCTCCCTCCTCCCCCCACTCTATATCTGGGGACCTCTGTCTCTGGGCCTTTGTGTCCCCCCTCCACGTCCCTGGGTTTCTTCCTTCCTGTCTGGCCCTCGCTCCCCCCTGCTGTCCAGACCTTTCATAAGTGCATCGCCCCAATCCCCAGTTCCTCCCCTGCCTGGCCCTGCTCCGGAGAAGGGAACATTTATCTTGGGGGAGCCC